GGCGGCCGCCAGGACCGTTGGGGGCGGGGTGTGTGGCCTTATGACACACTTCCGGTGATGTCAGGGGGTGTGGCCTTATGACACACTTCCGGTGATGTCAAGGGGTGTGGCATATGCTAATGACTTATGCTAATGAGTTCCCCTAGCTCTTTTTCTATGAAACGACCCCTGCTTTTATCGGGAAAATTCCATTGGTCTCTAAGGTGCGACCGGACTCAAATTTTGTTCTGCTGCCTCAGGTGCTCCTACACCTGAAATAAGCCCTGCCTAGAGGTTGGTAACCCAATTGATTCGAACTATGGAGCTGGAAGGGACCTCCAGGGTCATCTAGTCCAACCCCCTGCACAATGCAGGAAATTCACAGCTACACCCCCAGGGGTCATTTCGTAGAAAAAGAGGTGCAGGAGCTCATCAGCATAACTCATTTCCATATGCCATGCCCCCTGACATCACCGGAAGTGTGTCAGAAGGCAACACCCACCTCTCAGGCTCCACTGGACTGTTTTGGATTGCTAGCTATTGGGGGTTGGGGGGAGAACATGCAGATCTGTCCTCGCAGAGGAGGGAGAGCTTGTACCCGAATAAAACCTGGTCTTAATGGTGCCACTGGACTGTTTTGGACCGGGGGGAGCTCTGTAGCTTACCTGGCTGCTTCTTGCTCTGACTGACAGCTGCTGGGAACAGGGGGCGGGGCTTGTTGCATGTGCCCGCCCCCCCGGGCTCTTTACTGCTGGAGCTCTGCTCCTCCATGCTCACTGGAAGGCAAAAAATCTCCAAGATCCCTGGGCCAATCTGGCCTGGAGGAAAATTACTTCCTGACCCCAAAGTGATGATCGGCATTATGCTGGGCATATAAGGAAGGGCCCTGAGAACGAAGCACGGATGCTGCAACCCCTGCTGCCACCCCTTCTCGTGAACTGCCTCAGTTCACAGAATCAGCACTGCTGTCAAGATGACCATTCTAGCCTTTGGTTAAAAACCTCCAAAGAAGGGGAGCCCACCACCTCCCGAGGAAGCCTGTCCCACCCCTGTCAGGATGTTCTTCATAATGTTTAACCAAAACCTCTTAATTGAGAGCCAGTTTGGTGTCGTGGTGAAGTGCGCGGACTCTAATCTGGGAGAACCGGGTTTGATTCCCCACTCCTCCACTTGCACCTGCTGGATGACCTTGGGCAAGCCGTAGTTCTGTCAGAGCTGTCCTTGAAAAAGAGCCGTTTCTGTCAGAGCTCTCTCAGCCCCACCTCCCTCACAGGGTGTCTGTCGTGGGGAGGGGAAGGGAAAGGAGTTTGTGAATCCAATCTCGTCTTCTTCTTCTTCATTTCAACATGTTGATCTGACCTACCAGGCCAGGATGTCAATGGATTTTGAAGGACTGCCATGGTTACGGAGCTTTTCTGAAGTATTTTTGTAGTGAGTTACAGGTTGGTTATAGAAGTCAGCCGGATCCTGCAATGTGAGGAAACTTCTGCCCTCAGCAGAGCAGAGTTCCAGGATCTAGGCCAGAGTTTGTATTCTGTGACGTTCTTTTGTGCTGTAAGATCAGGGCTATTTTTGGGCAGGAACGCACAGGAACGGAGTTCCGGCTGGCTCCTGAGTTGGCCACGCCCAGCAGGAGCTCATTAGCATAACAGGCCACACCCAACAGCAGGAACTCATTAGGATTGGCTACATTAGGGGTGTGTGGCCTAACATGCAAAGGAGCTCCTGCTCCAAAAAAAGGCCCTGGGTTTTGACAACAAACAGGGTAAACAGAATAAGAAGCAAAAGGTGGGTGTGGCTGGATGACCACACTTCTAGTAACATGGGGTGTGGCCTAATATGCTAATGCGCTGTGTTATCAGGGGTGTGGCCTAATATGCTAATGAGTTTCTGCTGTTGGGTGTGGCCTATTATGCTAATGAATTCCTGCTGGGCTTTTTCTACAAAAAAAGCCCTGCGTAAAACTGTAGCACAGAAAATCGCTCCGCTCCTGCAGCGAGTGACCTCTTATGCTCTCTTTCCTCCAGGACAGGGACGTCACGGACATCCTGGCCAATGCTGGTGACGTCGTCACCCTCACCATCACCCCTGCGGTGATCTACGAGCACATGGTCAAAAAGTAAGCCACTCGAGAGAGCCGGCACAGTGCCACAGCGGGGTTGCCAGCTCTGGGTTTGAAAACACCTGGAGATTTAGGGGGTGGAGCCTGGGGAGGGCGGGATTGGCAGAAAGGAGGGACTTTAATGGGGTACAATGCCATAGAGTCCACCCTCCAAAGCAGCCATTTTCTCCAGGGGAGCTGATCTATGTCACCTGGAAATCAGTTGCAATCCCGGGAGATCTCCAGCCGCCACCTGGAGGTTGGCAGCACGACTGATGGCTGAGCATGTGTTTGAGTGGGCAAACCACGAGTTCAATGCTCGCTAGTCAAATTACTAGCTTTGCTCATTAGAATCATAGAGTTGGAAGGGACCTCCAGGGTCATCTAGTCCAACCCCCTGCACAATGTAGGAAAGTCACAAAGACCTCCCCCTCCACACCCCCGGTGACCAATGCTCCCTCTAAGCTGTGGAGTCCTGTGAGCAAAAATTCTACTTTGTGAGCTACTGGCATTAAAGGTGTGAGCAAGCAATTGGGCTACTGCCTAAATTAGTTTGCTCTGGAGCCATCCTTCCTGGGCTAAGGCAAAAATGTGTGAGCCGGAAGCTAAAAAACTGTGAGCTGACTCACACTAACTCATCTTAGAGGGAACATTGTCAGTGACCCCTGTTCCATGCCCAGAAGGGGACCAAAAAACCTCCAGGATCCCTGGCCAAATTGGCCTGGAGAAAAATTGCTTCCTGACCCCAAAGTGCTGATTGGCATTTCCCTGGGCGTGTAAGAAAGGGCCACGAGAACGAAGCACTGATGCAACCAAAGCACCCTCTAAGCTGTGGAGTCCTGTGAGCAAAAATTCTACTTTGTGAGCCACTCGCATTAAAGTTGGGAGCGCGCGATTGGGCTGCTGCATAAATTAGTTTGCTCTGGAGCCATCCCTTCCTGAGCGAAGACAAAAATGGGTGCGCCGGAGGCTAAAAAACTGTGAGCTAGCTCACACTCACTCAGCTTAGAGGGAAAACTGGATGCAACCCTTCCTGCCCCCTCCCTCTCGTGATCTGCCTAAGTTTGCAGAATCCGCATTGTGGTCCGATGGCCATCTAGCCTCTCTCTGAAAACCTCCCAAGAAGGAGAGCCCACCACCTCCCAAGGAAGCCTGTTCCACCGTTTCTCTGCCTGTCAGGAAGTACTTCCTCATGTTTAGCCGAAAACTCTTCTGATTTAATTTGAACCCGTTGGTTCTGGTCCGACCTTCTGGGGCAACAGAAAACAACTCCTTACCATCCTCTATATGACAACCCTTCAAGTTCTTGAAGATGGTATTCATATCACCTCTCAGTCGTCTCCTCTCCAGGCTAAACACACCCAGCTCCTTCAACCTTTGCTCATAGGACTTGGTCTCCAAACCCTTCGCCATCTTCGTTGCCCTCCTCTGGACACGTTCCAGCTTGTCTATATCCTTCTTAAATTGTGGTGCCCCAAACTGAACACAATGCTCTGTATAAGGTTGGAAGAAAGCTCTTGGATCTCGCCACAGACTTTCCCAGCTCAATTCAGAATGGGGCCTTGCCAGGGGTCATTTCGTAGAAAAAGAGGTGCAGGAGCTCATTAGCATAACTTATTTGCATACGCCACACCCCCCTGACATCACCGGAAGTGTGTCAGAAGGCAGGATTGCTAGCTATTGGGGGGGGGAATGCACAGATCTGTCCTCGCAGAGGAGGGAGAGCTTGTACCTGAATAAAACTTGATCTTAAAGGTGCCACTGGAGTGTTTTGGACCAGGGGGCCGGGGGGAGCTCTGCAGCTTACCTGGCTGCTTCTTGCTCCTTGTGGCCCGACTGAGGGCTGCTGGGTGCAGGGGGTGGGGCTTGTTGCATGTGCCCGCCCCCTGGGCTCCTTACCGCCAGAGCGCCGCTCCTGTGCGCTCCTGCAGGAAACGACCCCTGCGCCTTGCAAACCGAGCTGTTTAGCCTCATGTCAGAAAAGAGCCAGTTCTTCCGTCCCCTTTGTAAGGCCGTGTTGCTCCACTTTATAAAACCTAGATCTGGTTCTCCCCTCTCTCTTGTTTTCTCCTGCCAGGCTTTCTCCAGGGCTCGTGAAAGCATCTATGGATCACTCCGTCCCTGATGTTTAAAACTGGCAAAGATTTTCATACACGCCTCCTCTCTCTTCTGACATGGAACACCAGAGACAACAACCCGAATAACTTGAAGAACCGGTGCTTCTCCTCAGAGAATATTTCGTGGCGGAGAGAGACCCAACCAATTCCTTAAGGCTTTCTGTTATGTATGTGGACCACCACCAGGGGTCCACGGCTAGAGTCGGAGCTTAGGTCCTCTAAACAATAGGAACCTAGGATCCTAGTTCCCCCAGCATTCACCAATAACAGCTTTGGCGGGAAATTCAAACCCTCCAACGGGACTGTGGGTGTGCTGGGTGGGTGTGTATATAGTTGGCCTTGCAGGGCCGTTTTTCAGTTCCTGTGTGAAGTACAATAAACGTGTGTGAACGCATGTTGTGGTCTGAGTCCTCCATGCGGCGAACCCAGTACTTTGCATTTTCATTGATTCTTTGCAGAATTTTCAGACACCCAGTGAGGGTCCAGTTGCGTGTGCCAGGGTACACAGCGATCATAAGCCTATTCTCTAATTTATACTTAGAATCATAGAATCATAGAGTTGGAAGGGACCTCCAGGGTCATCTAGTCCAACCCCTTGCAGAATGCAGGAAATTCACAAAGACCTCCCCCCCACACACACATACCCCCAGTGACCCCTGCTCCATGTCCAGAAGATGACACAAAAACCTCCAGAATCTCCAGCCAAAGTGGCCTGGGAAAAAATTGCCTCCTGATCCCAAAGTGGCAATCAGCCTTTCCCTGGATGTGTAAGAAAGGGCCACGAGAACTAAGCACTGATCACATAAGAACATAAGAGATGCCAATGTTGGATCAGGCCAAAGGCCCATCCAGTCCAACACTCTGTATCACACAGTGGCCAGAAATACCAGTGCCATCAGGAGGTCCACCAGTGGGGCCAGGACATTAGAAGCCCTCCCACTGTTGACCCCCCCAAGCACCAAGAAGACAGAGCATCACTTGCCCCAGAGCCCCTATCTATACCTTTTGGCTAATAGTCACTGATGGACCTCTGCTCCATATGCTTATCTAATTCCCTTTTGAAGCCGTCCATGCTTGTAGCCGCCACCACCTCCTGTGGCAGTGAATTCCATGTGTTAATCACTCTTTGGGTGAAGAAGTACTTCCTTTTATCCATTCTAACCCGACCGCTCAGCAGTTTCATGGAGTGCCCACGAGTTCTTGTCTTGTGAGAAAGGGAGAAAAGTACCTCTTTCTCTACCTGCTCTTTCCCATGCATAATCTTATAAACCTCAATCATGTCACCCCTCAGTCGTCGTTTCTCCAAGCTAAAGAGCCTTAAGCGCTTTAACCTTTCCTCATAGGGAAAGTGTTCCAACCCTTTTATCATTCGAGTTGCCCTTTTCTGCACTTTTTCCAAAGCTAAAGTGTGCTGTCCGATGGCCATCTAGCCTCTCTCTGAAAACCTCCCAAGAAGGGGAGCCCA